AGGCAGTTTGAAAGACATCAAAGTAAATGAGATGTGGTGTCTGCCCTCATGCGTCTCACAACTTAGTGGTGGAGACACATGAAAACAAACACCTGTAAAGCCAAACGCCTTGATCATCCAGAAAATACCATAAAAAGAATCGCTATGTTAGAGCAATGCTTCAGTCAGAACCAGGCACCTAGGAAGTTTTCACAGATGCAGTAGCTTTGAAGAGAAAACAGCCTTTCATAAGACAGGGATGAGAGTAAAGACCTTCATCTTAGGAGAAACAGCGCAAGCCAAGGCAGAAAATCCAGTAAGGAAGGGATAGAGAGAAATGTCTAAGAAAGCTGGACAGTGGACGTGTGGTTAGGAATAAAAGGAGTGTGGCAGAGAACAGATTGAAAAGGTAGGATGCAACTACTTAAACTTTTACCCATTAATAAGAAATATTGATAAATTCCACACTTCCTAGTCTTTTTGAAAAGCAGTCATTAAAGAAAAGAACAACTAACTGTGAGAAGTTAAGCACAAATCTGGAGTGATTGGGTGAACACAGATAGCTTCGCTCTAGTGTTTGATGACAGCTGAAGATGGATTGTCACACAACCTGTGTGTATGCATGTGCACTGCCGGTGGATCTGCTGGTTTCTACCTGGCCAGAGCCCTTGCCCAAGAACAGCTGCAATTTGCAAGTCTTCTTAAATCTGTTTTACCATCCTGCAGAGGTAAGAGTTGGATAATTTATGCACTATGACTTCACAGTCCTCTGGGGAGGCTGCCAAGGAAAGCATGTTTTGGATAGAAATCTGAAAAAAGGCAAAACAAAAAAAATGTAAAAACCTAAGCCCAGTTTGGCATAGGGCTAAAGTTTCACATCCAACTCCTCCCTAGGATCTGCCATTTAATCATCCTCCAGGATGCAAGGGCTGCCATGGGTTACTGGGGATAGCGATTAGGCATCCTTGGGCCGCATCAGCAAACACCCTCTCCTGATAGGCAGCTGGAAAGTAATGGGATTTGGGTTTTAGTTGTGAGAGAATGGTGGAAAATGTTACAAACAGCTGACCTCCTTTGCCCCTGCTGAAATAGCGGCCTTCCTCTGTACATTTTTATGTTGCTTTGGGGAGACTGACAAAAGACAGATGCTTCTTGCTGGAATGCCAGTTGTTTAATCATTCTTTCTGGTCCCAAGACATTTACTGTAGCTTCTTGGAGCTGACATCTTGGGCCGCTCCTTGGTTTTCAATGTCTTGTAAATTGTGTTGCAATTTTCCATTACATGGAATATGGGAAAGTTTGTGGGAGAGTTTTTTGTAGGTGTTATGTCGCAGATGGTGTCCTCAGGCAAAAAGCCTTAAAGTTGGGAGTGCAGGAATTGCAAATAAACTGTAAGCTCTGTAGTGAGACACACACAAAAAAGACCTCATCTGGCTCCTGTCTCCCACACAGCTTCAGTCAGGTCCACAGAAGTATTTATGTCCATGCCAAGGCTCGGCAGTAACATCTGAGATTAATCTTCCCAACAGCATGACCTGACCACACAGTGCCCACGACAGAGGAGACCTGCTTCTTTCTCCAGGTTCTGTGGCCCCACAGCACCCCGGGAAGCAGCATGGTAGATAAAATGTCCTTCAGAAGTATAGTAAACTCTCATCTTAGCCACAGACTGCCCTCCTCAGCAGGTCTCTTGCTGTCTGTTTTCAGGAAGATAACATTAAGTTTTGAGAAACCGAAAAGTTTTGATGTAGTCAGGCGTTTTTATTATGTTAAGAAACAGGAGTAAATGATTAGTCTCATAATCACATACAACCTGTTTCCCAGGAGGATGGCATGCTTAGGAACAGGCAAATCATGACAGTGATTTGGAAAGATATTCATATTCTTTTCCCTTAAAAGTCATAGTATTTGGTTGAACTTCACGATTCCTCCTGTTTTAGTGTATCTTCTTAACTTTACTTTTTCTGAATGTGAGCCTGTGAATGTTTTTTGTCACCCTCATGTCATATTTACAAATTCTCCTCCTTCTCCTGTGCAGAGATGCCTATTTCTTTCCTCCTTGGTGATTACTATACTCTGAAGAGCTCTCTCCTCAATGTGTGGGAACTTCAAACTGAAGAAGTCACAGCTAAATATGTTGTATCTGTGTGTTGGCCCCCATGTCTTAGGGAGAAGAGACATTCTAGGGAAGAACACACTCACATTTTGTTGATGCACCAATGTGCGCATGAGGAGCATTTGGAGACAGGTAGGATGGATAACAAGACTTTGTGTTTCTATGACACTTTTCACATGGACATTTATAAACATATAAAGATTATCCCCCAAACCCTCTCTTCAGCTGGGTTAAGAGCAAGAATAATTTTTGTATTTTATCAAGAAAAACCAGAATAAGGAGAAATGTCTCTACTCTGTCAGCTTTACCTAGTTCAGAAACCAAGTCCCACCCTTCTGAGAGTAGAGACATCGTCTGTCAAACTCACTGCCTCTCCCCAGCCTCTCTTTGGTTCTCTACTTTGTATAAACCAATGTTCTTGGCTCCTTATTTAATCTTAAAATCAGTGTTGGGTGAATCAGTCAGAATATTTGGACATTCTGTTCAGAAAACATTATAAATTGATCAAGATTTGCTTGTCCTGCAAAACTCTCTTGGCATTCTTAATAGCAGTCTTCTGTCCTTGGATGACTTTATGAAATGTAGAGTTTGTGTGAGGAGACGATATGGACAATTTCCCCATTGCCCTGAAAGAGACACACCCTGTTACACCTCTTTGCCTTCATCCATACTGTCCTCTTTTCCCAGCATGCCTTTCTTCCCTGCCCGCATCCACCTGCAATGTTCTTCTGTGCCTTCTAAAATTAAGTTTGACTATTATCATCCCCCTCATCAAGGCTTCACACGTATTCTTCATTTCTCCTTCTTAACAAAGCCCCAGTTTTGTTCAAGTCCCACTCACTCCTCTCCCACTAGATGTGTATCTGGTGAAAGATGTTGATCTTAGTCCCATCTACATGAAAGGACTAATCAACATAAATACAATCTCAGTCCCTTTGGCCGGGATTGGCTAAAGAATTGTCATGTAGTCTTGGCCAATCAGACAAGAGGGAAAGCATGTGAAGCGCTCTCAGTCCTAATTAGTAAGATGAGGACCAAGAAAGAGATAGTCAGCCCTCTTCCCCTAGTTGTGCCATGTCTGACTGTGGTCTTAGGGTGGCTGCCTTCCTCTCAGCAGCAAGCCAAGTAGGCCAGCTGGCTTCTTAGTAACACTCCACGGTCACTTAACTCTGAGAGTCTCAGTTTCCTCTTTTTTAAAATGAGGAAGTTGACCTCATTTATCTGTAGCTTCCTTTTAACTTTAGAATACCATACATGCCTCTAAAAGATGATGGGGGAGGAGATATGGAGGAGGATCTAGGAAGTGAAGAAGGCCAGTTAATTTTATTTGTAGCTCTAACCATCTGCTGCCATTAACATGAGCAAGCAGTTATTTGCATTTTATGGTTGAGTGATCTCAACTTTCCAGTTTAAGAAACAAGTACTAATCTTGGTTTAACCACTAAGATAAACTCACATTTCCCCATTCTCTGAGGTGAATCTATTAATATCTCTTTATCTTGTATGGTAAACAAAATGTTTTTACTAACATTAAACGAAAAGGGTAGTACAATTCAAGTTTGGGAACCAAAATGATTTTTTCCCCTTAATTTCAAGTTAAACCATTTTATCATCCTTCCTTTGTCTTCCTTCTGTAACTGTTCCAAAACCACCCAAGAAGACCTAAAGAATTTGTAAATGGAGAAGAAGTATGGAAAAAAATTTTTTTTAATGCAGGATTACATTGCTTAAGGTTAGTAGATCTTAGCTTGCTTCAAAATGTTAAGAGACTTAAGTTGAAGCACCATCTAGTGGCTCTCAGTTGTGTTCTGCTAAAAGTTGCTCCCAGTCTCCCTGTATTTAGGACCACAGTTAATTTGTTGGGCATGTATATCATTGACCCTTGAACAGCAAGTTGAAAATGCACAAATCTACTTATATGTGTATTTCTTTCACTTCTGTGGCCCCGAGACAGCAAAACCAACTTCTTTACTTCCTCCTCCTCTTCAGTCTACTCAATGTGAAGACAACAAGGATGAAGACCTTTATGATGATTTACTTCCGCTTAATGAATAGTACATATATTTTCTCTTCCTTACGATTTTCTTAATATTTTCTTTTCTCTAGCTTTCTTTATTATACATATAACATACAAAATATGTGTTAATCACTGTTTATGTTATCAGTAAGGCTTCTGGTCAACAGTAGGCTATTAGTAGTTACGTTTTGGGAGAGTCAAAAGTTATATGCAAGTTTTCTACTGCATGGAGGGTTAGCATGCATGTTAACCCCCATCTTGTTCAAAGGTCAGCTCTATATGAACACATATGAGTGTTCAGAAAAAAAATGTGGAGTTTTTTTTAATCTTTATATAGGAGTGGGAGGATGGGGGTAGTAGCTGTAGCTTTTTACTGTTTCAATCTAATCATGGCAGTGAGAATGGGATAAAGAAATAAAATGAATTCCCATAAATCTCTTCTAGAAACAGTAAAGTTCATCCAGTGGAAAAAAGAATTAATACAAATTTAATACAAAGAAAATTTCATAGATTTCAGTTCTCCTGTTTCTCCTACTCACATTCTCTCTAAAAGCCCGTAACAGTATCTTTATCTTCCTTCTGAATCCCATAATGTAGACGCGTTCTCACACATCTAGGGATTGGCTATTAAATCATTTTTACATATCTCCAAGTTCTCAAGCACAAGCCCAGAGCATCCCTTGCATTTATATAACCAACAATTTTTCTTGAACTGTCATAGGGATAATACTCATACCTATGATTCCTATCTTCTGAAGTTACCTCTTTTCATTATCTCTATGGGAAGAATGAAAATAGACCATAACAACTGGACATGAGTAGGAATATCTGTTTCATTGTCACTAGGGGAAGAACAAAAATTGGACATGAAAGTGGATATGAGTAGAAAATAATTTGTAGCAAGATTGACACAAACCTTCAGATTAACAAACTAGGTATTTGTATCAATTAGGATTAAGTTTAGCTACGTGTAGAGTAAAACCTAAAATAACACTGGCATGAACAAAATTTTATTCACTCTCACACAAAAGAAGTCAATGAATAGGTGGTTGAGGGTTTATAGGGAAACTTCATGGTCATCAAGCCCAGGATCCTTCTTCCATCTTTCTTTTCTTCTATCCTACTGAGTGGCTTCTATCCTCAACATCATCCATGACCCAAGTTGACTGCTGGACCATCACCCATCTTACCAATGTTGCAGTCTAGGAGACAAGGAGTTGAAGCAAAAGAAGACCCTTCCTTCCTCTTTAAAGAGATTTTCTGAAAATATCACATAAGATTTGTATTTACATCTCATTTTCCAGAACTTATGCAAGTGGGCATACTCAGCAAAGGAAACTGAGAAATGCCTTTTAGCTAAGTACATTCCAACAATAAATTAAATTGGAGTTATGCTATTAATCAATGTGTCAATTACCTAAGACACCAAGAATGCTGTATAACAAACAACCATAAAACCTCTGTGGCAACAATTGCTTACACACCTGGGATCAAGTGGGGGTCAGGTCTTCTCATCTTGACTGAGCTTCCTCATATATTTAGGGAATGGCTGACTATTGCATCTTCTAGGTTGGCCTCAATAGAGAGTTAGGGATGGGACTGAGGGGACACAGCTCTGCTCTACATGGTTCTCATCCTCCATCTGACTGGGCCAAGCATGGAGTAACAAGTAGAACAAAAGTTCTTAAGACCTGTGCTCAAAACAGGTACACCAACACTTCCACCTCATTTTATTGGCCAAAGCAAACTGCATAGGGTGGATAAATATGTACTCTCTGGATGGAAAGAACTCTAAAGTCAACTGAAAAATTACATGGATAGAGGGAGAGGTGAAGATTCAGAGTCATGGATATACTCATCTGCCACAAGGAGAAAGGGGAGGATGGGCATTGGACCAGTGATACGGCTTGGCTGTGTCCCCACCCAAATCTCATCTTGAATTGTAGCTCCCATAATTCCCATGTGTTATGGAAATCAATTCCATATTGTAGCTCCCATAATCAATTCCATAGTCAATGGAAATAAATTCCAACTGTAGCTCCCATAATTCCCACGTGTTATGGGAGGGACCTGGTGAGAGGTAACTGAATCATGGGAGCAGGTTTTTCCCATGCTGTTCTCATGGTGGTGAATAAGTGTCATGAGATCTGATGGTTTTATAAATAGGAGTTCCCTTGTACATACTGTCTCTTTGCCTGTCACCATGTAAGACGTAGCTTTACTCCTCCTTGCCTTCCACCATGATTATGAGACCTCTCCAACCATGTGGAACTGTGAGTCAATTAAACCTTTTCCTTTATAAATTACCCAGTCTTGGATATGAATTTATTAGCAGCATGAGAACAGACTAATACAACCAGGTAACAAGCAATCCCTGCCACAGTATTTTTTAGTCTGTTATAAAATTGTATTAATGGACTGCTTCCCATTCTATGCCCTGTCTTAAACATAAGGGAATTACAATAAAAAAGAAAGACACACAAGAGTTTACATCATATTTTATATATATATATATATATATACTCTTAATTTAGTTATTTTTTACTCATGTTCAATTACAAAAAGGGTAAGTGTTAATCTTAGTATTCGTTCTATTCTTTATTATGGGCAGAGACTGGGCTAGATGTTGCAGTGAACCTGATTCCTTTTCTTCCAAGTCAGCTAGACTACATTTTCCAGACTCTCTGGATGTTAATACAGCTATGCTAGTAAGGACTAACCAATGGAATGTGAGCAGAAGTGATTACTGCTCCAGGCCTGGCCCATAAACACCTCCCACATAACATCCTCCATTCTCTCTCCCTGTTTCCTATTCACCAGCTGAACTAGGTAATATTCCGAGAAGGGCAGAGCCATAGGATAAAATGATAGCTTAAAGCAACGCTTCTCTTTCCTGCCCTGCCTCAGCCCCACCAACTGCACTAGAGTGTGATGTGAGCAAGAATTAAATTTTTGTGGTGTGAATACACTGAGATGTAGGGCCTGTTTGTTTCAGCAATTAAATAACCGTATGCATATAATAGCATCCAATTTATGCATTCATTTTTTCCCTTAGGGCTTTGCTAAAAATAAAAGTAACAGACCAGATCACCAGTTTGTTTTCATGCTGTTGATAAAGACATACCCAAAACTTGGAACAAAAAGAGGTTTAATTGGACTTACAGTTCCACATGGCTGGGGAGGCCTCAGAATCATGGGGGTAGGTGAAAGGCACTTCTTACATAGTGGCAGCAAGATAAAATGAGGAAGAAGGAAAAGCAGAAACCCCTGATAAACCCATCAGACCTTGTGAGACTTACTCACTATCACGAGAATAGCACAGGAACCGACCCCCATGATTCAATTACCTCCGTCTGGTTCCCTCCTACAACACATGAGAATTCTGGGAGATACAATTCAAGTTGAGATTTTGGTGGGGACACAGTCAAACCATATCAACCTGCTACTTTAAATAAGAAATGTCTTCTTTTAAATAAAAAATCACTTTTTACTACAGGATTACCATCTGTATCAAGTGAATATAGGATCTTAGTTTACAGTGGCCCTAGAAGATATAAGGATTTCACCAATGTCTTACTCTTACCATCATTAATCCATCCAACTACTACAACCTAGAGTGTAAATAAGAAAGGGAACTGAGTCATTAGAGCTCTAAAAGGTAAGGGGACCTTCAGTGTCATCTTCAATGACACTGATATTTCCTTAGTTGAGATCAACTTACAATTTCTACTAAAATGCAAATACTGCTAAAAATGACTCAGCCGTTTGCTAAATGATCAGTCCAAACATGCAACGCTGCTGCCCCACTAATTGCTAGCAAGCAAGTAATGGATGGAAGGTCAGCTACTAGCTGACTCACAGACAGTGTTTGCAGTGGCTTCTGCCATTGCAGCATTGATTAGCAACTCGGGTATGCAGAGGAGCCAAGAAGCTGTGAGGAAAGCAGCATTCAAAGAACCCAAAGGGTGTAGAAAAACTGCCCAGCATCATTATTTGCCTTTTGCTGAGCCATCTTCTTCTTTATCTTGAAAAGCAGTTGTGTCACATTTGCAAATAGAAATTTACTAAGGAAAATGCAAAAGTAGATAAAGTATCCTAGGCATTTATGATGGCAGGCACGAAGCTTTTGCATGTGTACTTACACTGTATGCTGAGTCTGAAACAGGTCTTGGTAATTGTATTAGTCCATCTTCACATTGCTGTAAAGAATTCCCCAAGACCAGGTAATTTATAAAGAAAAGAGTTTTAACTGACTCTCAGTTCCACACAGCTTAGGAGGCCTCAAGAAACTTACAATCATGGCAGAAGGCGAAGGGGAAGCAAGGCATGTCTTACATAGCAGCAGACTGGAGAGTGAGCAGGAGAAATTGCCACTTACAAAACCATCAACTCTTGTGAGAACTCCCTCACTATCACAAGAACATCATGAGGCAAACCACCCCCATGATCCAATCACCTACGCCAAGTCCCTCCCTTAACACATGGGGATTACAATTTGAGATGAAATTTGGGTGGGGACACAGCACCAAACCATATTAGTAACTATCACATCGAGTCACAAAAGAAGTTAAGCTAGACTTTGAACCCGAAAGCTTGTTGCAAATGGCTGCTTTTTTTTTTTTTTTTTTTTTTTTGCGATGTCTCATCAAATATAAATTGACATCCAGCTCTTTCGATTTTCATTCTTTAGGGAAAAAACCCATAAAATATTTCATTAAGCAGGAAGGAACACAAACCCTTTACAGAGAAATTTGAAAGTAAACACTTGAGAAGCCCCAGAAACCTTCCCCCATCAAATTCCCAAGATGTGGGCTAGGCCACTTCTCTCCTAGACTAAAACCACAATGAAGCACTTTCACAATGAAGTTCTTGCCCAGTGCTGCAGGCACAGCTGCCTGGGCTCTCAGTTGTGAATGATGCCTTCACATTAAAGAAGGAGCTGGAGGGAGAATACAACATAACCACAAAAGTGTCAAGCTTTTCCCAGTACACTGTAAACTGAAAATGTTACAATGATTTTTTTTTCTTTTTCTACTGTATCTTATGCTTTTCAGTCTTCAGTTTCTACCTGACATAATTTATCCTCTGGAAGAAAACAAATCCTGTGGTGACCAGAATGACCACAAAAAGAGAGAGTTTCACATAAAGAATGATCAGTAAGTCCAACGCTGGAGATCCTGAGGTTCTGAGACCTGTAAATACAGACAGGGGTAAAAAAAAATCATTTCAAGGATTCTTCTAATTACAAATTGGAGTCAAACATTTTAAAGAACATTTAAAAATATTCTAAAGAGTTCACAGACTGTCATAATCATGAAACCTTCTAACTTACAACTCAAATGTTACTAATATATCATTCTTCCATGACAGAGTTTAGGAACCATGTTTGTGTTTTGTACCTCATAGGTTTCTGACAAATATTTTCTGAACAAATAAATGCACACTATGCATTGCTAATACTTTCCAATTTTATAAGAAAAGCAATATGTCAAGCTTTCCCCAGTATATTCCAACTTCCCATGCAAATACTAGCCTTTGAAAGAACATTACTCTTGATATTTGGGGTTTGATCTGATAACACTTTCCACACATTGAAGTGATTTTCTTACTAAGTTGATGTAACCTCTTTAGCAAGGTGTTTTGTGTCTTCCTACTTTCATTTTATTTATCTGTGAAATGCCCCTAGGAATTATTGAAAAGACAAATCAAACTAATTGGGGATCTTGGTTCACTGCAAACTCTGCCTCCTGGGTTCAAGTGATTCTCCTACCTCAGCCTCCAGAGTAGCTGGGATTACAGGCATGCACCACCACGCCTGGCTAATTTTTGTATTTTCAGTAGACACGGGGTTTCATCATGTTGGCCAGGCTGGTCTCGAACTCCTGACCTCAGGTGATCCACCCACCTCAGCCTCCCAAAGTGCTGGGATTACTGGCGTGAGCCACCATGCCCAGCCAGAAGCATAATTCTAAAGTCTCTTATCCTATGAAATTGACCACCTAGGCAGGGTGCGGTGGCTCACACCTGTTGGGAGGCCAAGGTGGGTGGATCACCTGAGGTCAGGAATTAAAGACCAGCCTGACCAACATGGTGAAACCATGTCTCTACTAAAATACAAAAATTAGCTGGGTGTGGTGGCATGGGCCTATAATCTCAGCTACTCGGGAGGCTGAGGCAGGAGAATCGCTTGAACCCGGGAGGCATAGGTTGCAGTGAGCCGAGATCGCACCACTGCACTGCAGCCTGGGTGACAGAGTGAGACTCTGTCTCAAAAAAAAAAAAAAAAAAAAAAAAAAAAAAAAAAAGGAAAGTAAAAAAGAAGAAATTGGCCACCTAAAGAATGTGTGAACTCTAAATACAAGTCTGACTCCTGGCTCTAAGATGTTATTCTATCCCATTAAATAACCTGCTCAAAGACTAAACTAGAAAAATGTCAGACAATCCTAGGCATTGTGAGGAAATAAGAAAACAGTATGGTTACAGTTCTCAAAATATCTCATAATCCAACTGGAGAAATCAGACTCATACAAATGAAAAGACAACTTATATAAAATAAAAATAAAAGCTCAAGACCCCAATTCACTATGCCAAATGGGAAAAATTAAGCTGAAAGCCGAGTCATGCAAGCAACTGCCTTTCCTTTTATTCCTAAGCACATAGCTACATATAAAACGTAAATTACTCCACAGGTAGCTACTCTATGTTCACCTTATCATAATTGACTATTCCCCTACCTGCTTCTTTTCTCTTGCAGCTTATTAATTACCATACCCTTCCTCTTTCCCCTTCAGTGCACTTTTGCCCTTTAAATATTGAAGCCCTCAAAGTCATCTTTGGAGAAAGGCATAGATCACTGACTGTTTCTCAGACTCTGTGGTGTTTTTTTTAATTTTGTTTTGTTTTGTTTTGTTTTGTTTTTATCTGTGCAAATTGTCCTAAACCTTGGCAAAATGATCTTCTAAATTAATTGAGACCTGTCTCCGATACTTTTTAGTTTAAAAGTACAATTGAGAAAACAGTGCTGGATGAACATTACAGATTATAAATCATCTAAGGAATAAGAACGTTTAATCAACTCTAACACGGAGGTCAGGGAGAAGCAGGACTTGAACTGGGTCTTGCTGGTCTGCAGGATTGAATAGGTTAAAAGAAGGACTTTTCAAGATAAAGAAACAATTTGAGAAAAGTTTTAAAGATGAGTTCACCTAAGTCATATTTGGAGCGTAGAATGGAATATGTAGAGATGAATCTGCAATGATTTGAACCTAATTCTTCAGTGACTTGTATGTGTCAGCTACTGTGCCAGACTTTAGGAATACAAAAATAAAAAAAGTGGTTCCAACTCTCAAGGACCCTATGCTGTGCTGAGATTAACAGAAGTAAGTGGCTGTAATATCATAAGAAATATGTATGTATGTGGTCTTTGTCCCCCAGTTCCCGGCACACTTCCAAGGATTTTTCCTAAACTTCTTGGAAGTTCCACAGTGATCCATCTTTTGTACGCTAATGAGATGAGTGGTGGCTGGGAGCCTGAAGACAGCTTCAGGATGGGGCTGATAATTAGAAAGGCCAAGGCATGGTTAGAAGGTTGAAACTTTCAGCCCCATACCACCACTGCCCCCTTCCGCTGACCTTCTGGGAGGGGAGAGGGGCTAGAAATTGAGCTAAGAAGCAACGCCCAATAATTTAATCCATCATACCTATGTCATAGAGCCTCCACAAAAACTCTACATGACAGAGTCTGGAGAGCTTCTGGGTTGGGAGATTTTCTGAGCTGGTGAACACACCGAGGGGCTGGGAGCTTGGCACTCCCAGAGACATCACGGAAGCTCCTTCCTCCATACCCTGCCCTACGCATCTCTTTATTTATTTATTTTTTTGTCTGTTCCTGAGTTGGCCACTTTATAAGAAATTAGTAATAGTAAATAAAGTGCATTCCTGAGTGTGTAATTTAAAAATCTAAGCTGTTGGAACTTTAAAATATTTTGAGCCTTAACGGAATGTGATTATGGGACCTGAGTTACGTAAACAAGCAGCTACGACCTAGGCAGCCATAACTTTAATTTCCCTGATTGTACATTAGCCTTTTTCCTTGCCTACATTGTTTTGTAAACTGCTGTAAATGACTAAAGGATGCAAGAGAAGACCCCTTCCCTCTAAACTGTGATCTTCATTATTGATTAACTTCCTTCTTTCTTCTCTCACACAATAACTATCACATTGCCTAACATGAAATGTTAACTATACTCTTAAAATTGGAAAGGAAATGAAAACAAACTGTACAGAAAAGAAAACAAGCTGTAACTTTAATTAATTAAATCATTATAACTCATAAACCAGCCTTATATGTAAAAAAGGTATAATCCTACTGAATTTCTTTTCTGCCTCTATAAACAAGACCTTAAGTTTGAAGTTTGAAGTTTGAAGCACTGACCCCATTCCTTTGGAGTCTGTGTTATCCGAATGGCTGCTCTCAGACTTCTGCTTAAATAAACTCTTTTAAACTGGACTCTGATCCTTTTGATTATTTCAGGTTGACATGGGTTCTGTGAGCCATTCTAGCAAATTATTAAACCTGACAAGGGAATCATGGGAACTCTCTGAAATTATAGCCAGTTGATTAGTTCAGGTGGCAATCTGGGACTTGTGACTGGCGTCTGAAGTGAGGGAGGTCTTATGAGACTAAGCCTTTAACCTGTGGGGTCTGTGCTAAGTCCAGGTAGTTAGTGTCTGAATTGAATTGTAGGGCACTTAGATGGTGTCTAGAGAGTTGGAGAATTAGTTGGTGTGGGGAAAAAAACTCACACACATTTGGTGTCAGAAGCACTGTGAATGAAAACAGTGCCGAGCAGTCAATTACAGGGCTGTGGAGGTGCTCTGACAGAGGCATGTAGGAAGCGTTCTGTGAGCACAGAGGAGGAACAGCTAACTGAACTTCAAGGCCAGAGAAAATCATCCCAGAGGATCAATGTCAAACTAAGTCTTAACACTTCAACAGGAATTGATCAAATGTAATGGAAGAAGAGAGTACAGGGAAAGAAGTGCCTTACAGAGAAGTAGAAATTACATTCAAGGCCAGGCACAGTGGCTCATGCCTGCCAATTCCAGCACTTTGGGAGGCAAAGGGGGGCGGATCACGAGATCAGGAGATCGAGGCCATCCTGGCTAACACAGTGAAACCCCCTCTCTACCAAAAAATACAAAAAAATTAGCCAGGCATGGTGGTGGGTGCCTGTAGTCCCAGCTACTAGGGAGGCTGAGGCAGGAGAATGGCATGAACCCAGAAGGCGGAGCTTGCAGTGAGCCGAGTTCACGCCACTGCACTCCAGCCTAGGCGACAGAGCGAGACTCTGTCTCAAAAATTAAAAAATTAAAAATTAAAAGAAATTGCATGTAAAAGGGAACAGAGGAATAAAAGCACTTAACACTTTTGAAGAGCCCAAAGAGGCCCACATGCATGGGGTACAGAATCATAAAATACATTATTAAAAATCTAATAAAATATTTAAAATTAGTAAATACATAAAATTATATATTATGAGACATTTAAAAGTAAATAGTTATAACAAATATTATGAAGAAGCTAATTAAGTGAACAAAGAATGAAACATTTATATTTTATTTGGCACTTGAGAGATACTTTTTGTCAGAGCATTTTCTGCGCAGGGAGACACAAATGAGGTAAGCAATAGATGTGAGGTGATAAAGAAGAGACAATGAGTGTAGGGTCCTCTTTTAAAAATATTCTTGGATAAGAGTGGAAGCCAAGAGTTAAATGTTTGAGGAAGTCATAACACCAAGCTTTTGGATACGGAAGAAAAATAGGCATGTTTTATGAGCAGCTTTAGAAAAATAATTTAAGGAACAAAAAACTAAACAAAAGAGAGAGGAGAATGAAGCAAAGCTCCTAAGGAGATAAAGGGGAAAAAAGGCTTAGAATTTGGGTTGAATGTTGGTATACAGAAGGGAAGATCAAGTAATACTGAAAATAAATATATAAAAAAAGATAAGACGTATGAAGTAAGAACCTAGACTTGATGGGAGATTGATCATGGAAAACACAGCTAACAAATACATGGTTTCCTTTTGGGGGTGATAAATATGTTCTAAAATTGATTGTAGCAGTGGTCACAAAAGCATTGAATTGCATTCTTTAAATGGGTGAAATGTATGGTATGTAAATTATATGTCAATAAAGCTGATGCAAAACAGAAAATAAACATGAAAGATATTATGAGGAATAATTAATATGATGATATTTAATATTAGTTGTAATAATTATCACAATAGCTAATTTTTATTAATATGATACATATAATAGCCAACATTTATTAATATAAGGAAATCTAGTGGCTAAAATTTGCTGAGTGTCAATTATGTAGTAGATATATTAATACAATTATATGTACAGCATGTTTATATATATATATAATTTTATTTAATTAACCCAATAATCCTATTAGGTGGTTCCCATTGTCTTCATTTAACAGATAAAGAAACCATGAGAGGCCAGGTGCGGTGGCTCAAGCCTGTAATCCCAGCACTTTGGGAGGCCAAGACGGGTGGATCACAAGGTCAGGAGATCGAGACCATCCTGGCTAACACGGTGAAACCCCGTCTCTACTAAAAAAATACAAAAAATTAGCCAGGCGAGGTGGCGGGCGCCTGTAGTCCCAGCTACTCGGGAGGCTGAGGCAGGAGAATGGCGTGAACCTGGGAGGCGGAGCTTGCAGTTAGTTGAGATCCGGCCACTGCACTCCAGCCTGGGCGACAGAGTGAGACTCCATCTCAAAAAAAAAAAAAAAAAAAAAAACCATGAGATAAAACCATGAGATAGAAATGTTAAATACTGTTCAAGTTCATATAACTAGTGAACAAAAACCATATGAAGTGAAAGGCTTTGCTCCTAAACACCAGATTATCCTGCCCAGAACAATATAAAGATGTGGACCTTATCTTTTCATCTTTGCATCACCAGCTTCAAACTTATAAATAGCATTCAATAAGTATTTTCTGAATTAATTAATAGATTGCTTTCAGATGACGAGACAGGAGGAATTACTTGTCTCTTACTCAGGGTAACAAAGTAATAAGAAATAAAATCAGGAAGAAAATAACTGTCATTCTGGGCTATCTACTGAACAAGGATTGTTAAAACTATATAAAACTCGTGATATTTCATATCAAGAATTAATCTCAAAGTAAGAGCCTATAGCTCACTAAGTTAACAAAATCTATTTTTATGGCTGTTCCACTAAAAGATAAGATTCTAGCGTTGTAATGCATTTCTCAGTTTTGGAGAATATTTCCAACCTAGAAGCTCAAATTTTCTTACCTACTGTTTGGTTATTCATTATTTTCTATGGAAGAAAAAGTTGAGCATCAAGTTTACTCTTCTACAAGAGACAGGCGCTTACCTGAATTCAACTTTATGTACAGACTCTTGTTGCCAGTCAAATGGGAGACATGGCAGGTCACGGTAGACGCATTGTGGCCCCCCCAATGGCACATACTCTCAACAGTCACTGTGCCATTGCCCCAGTACTCATGCTTAGTGGCACAATCCCCCTCTGGGATCCAGGAGATATGAGCAGCTGGCTTCCCTGCAACTGCCTTGCATACTGCAGTTCTATTCCTGCTTTGAAACAGGGTCACTTCAGGTGTAACTGCAGAGAGGAAAGGGGGAGAAAATGCTTTGGTTTTCACATAAAGCATATGGAATTCAGAGAGACATTTGTTTCAGTCACAAATCTGGTGATGTGAAATACCACAATATATGATGCTCCTTACCTAACACTTGGAGGTGATATCCACGATGGAAATTCCCATCAGGAGTTGCCATTATGCATCTGTAATACCCGTCATGAGTGATGGCCACTGGGTGAATGTGAAGGTCCGAATTCCGATCAGGTGTGGAGACCCAGGTTATTCTCTCATCAGTACAGTTGGTTTCCTTGGTCTCATTTGTTTCTTTCCTGTAGGCTTTTGTGCAGGAAGGCTGGCCTCTTATGATTATTTCCCATACTATTACAATCAAATTTCTGAACTCAATAGGAGGGCAACAAAGCATAGCATTTGTATCCATCAGTACAGGCTGTGAAATGTTACCTGGACACACACACAAAGGATAATGATAAAGAACACCTTGACAAGGAACTTCATGTGTTATGTTTATCCACAGTATATTACATGAAGTCATATTAGAACATAAATTTGCTGATCTTATTCCAGAAATATTGGACTTATGTAAGAAAATAACATTCACAAAATATAAATAATATATTGAACCCAATCTAAAGATTAACAAACTTTCTCCAGTATTATGTATTATTAGAAAAACAATATACATAACATTGTATTCTGAAATACAATAAAGTATTCTGAAATTAGTTCAGGAGTTTTAATATTTAGAAACAGAGAAGAAAACAGAATTGTAATTTAAACAACAAAGGCAATGCTCTAAATCTAATCTTTAGGTGATAGAGACTACTGTATTTATCATACAAATCATGTGCCTTGGAAAAGAAAATGGAATAACTAGTGATGTGATTGTCTCCTCCTTCGTTTTGGTGAGCACAAGAAAAATTAGTAATATCAAAGTTAAACACCTGTCTCTAAGGTTGTTATTTCAGACAAACATAAATGTGGAAAGTTTATGGTTCTTTCATTAAAGGTAACTAATATGGCATTCAGGTGGAGCTAGCTGGACATGTTTTATTTAGATAATTACATGCTTTATTTAGAGAATTACAGAGTCAGTGAGACCCATAGATCTTTAAAAAAATCTTTAATTTTGCCAGTTGAGCCATCCCATGTAAGTTAAAAAAATGCCTATTGATAAGATGTTTAGAAAGATTTATTTCTAGTTTAAAAAGTAGTGTGGCATATAATTTTTAAAAGCTTTATTTTCCTTTGGACATTTATCATGAAAAAGTTTTACTGCAAATTCGTGACATTGTCAAACATAGCCTTTGGATATTTTACTTCCTTCCTGTTTAGCCACACATATAATCCCAGAGAGTTCAGTGGTAAACTTTGCTCATAGATTTTATTTCTGTATATTCAATCCAATTATCAGGTGTAAATATGTAAGTCAACTCCTTTCTGTCCATCTTTTAAAGTAAAAATTAAGCCCTGCATCCTACAAGCATCTTCCAACATAGATTCTCATGCATCTCATAAGTCAACACAATGTTTCCACAACTGATCAGGGTTTACTGAGAGGTACTTATTCTGCCAAAGTACCTGTCACTACTCACCTGTAACAAAGGTGAGTGTCAGAGATCTCATCACGATAGCATAAGCAGAATCAGTTACAGAGGGGCAAACCTTTATGTGGATGAAGCTTGTTTTTGCTACACCCTACATTTAATATCACTCGTCTCCTGTTTTGGTGTCACCTGTCTCTTAGGTGGTACTTCAACCCTTATATTTCACAGTCAGATAATGATCACATAACCAGATACAGAAAGAAATAGGACTTTAACACAGACCTGAAAGGTCATTAAACCCATGCTCCTTCCACCACTCCACCTTAGCAAATGTTCAGAGGTAAGCAAGAACATGGCTTGTTTGGAGCACTAGAGACTGGGACATTCAGGGTCCCTCGTACCACAGCACTCAGATCAACACATTCTTCAAGTAGTCACAAGGCTGGCCCCCAGCCAGGCCATGAGCTAATGATTCCACCAAAGTTCAACTTTCCATCCCTCAGTGTTGGCCACTACTAAGGAAGCATATTACCTTCTGCAGACATTTTTGAATAATTCTGTGTCATCTGCTTTCCATCCATACATGAACTACTTGAAGCTAGAAAATATTTAGAGAAGAATAAATGAAATCAATTTTATGTACTCAGAGTGGAAGCCAGTGTTTCGCCACAAAGTCTTACTCAACATAAAGACAATTAGTTAACCATAACTAAAATTATACAAAAATAATTGTAAAACAGAAATTAGAAGTTATACCATCATTAGAGGAAAAAACCTGTTAACATCTTAAAAATTACACTTATAAGCAATTAATAATGATTTCTCATTCATGAGACGCTTTGTTTAGTCAACTAGCTTGTATGAAGTAACCAAGCCTCCCCCTATTCCTCCTTCCCCAACCAAGGAGATGGTTCCATGTGGACATCTCACATGAGCTGGTCCAATTATACTCCTTTCTCCAAATGCTGGAGACATCATCTTTAAATGAAATTTCTCTGTACATTTTTGTTTTCCTTTTTAACCTAACTCCTCTAAAAGAGTGAAAGAAATGAACACAAAACTGGAATAATGACTAACCAGGAAGTTGCTCTATAGTCACTCTTGTTGCTACTCAAATGTACCTACCATGAGCTCATGGTAGGCACATTGTGGCCCTCCCAGTGACATGAACTCCCAATAGTCACTGTTGCATTGCCGCAATATTCTTGCTCCGTAACACAATCCCCCTGTGGGGTCCGGGAGATCTTTGCTGCAACTGTCTTGCACACCACAGTTCTATGCCTGCTTAGAAACAGGGTCATTTCAGGGGGAACTGCAGAGAGGTAAGGAAAAAGTGCTTCAATCTTAACATAAAGAATATGAAATTTGGCCGGGCGCGGTGGCTCAAGCCTGTAATCCCAGCACTTTGGGAGGCCGAGATGGGCGGATCACGAGGTCAGGAGATCAAGACCATCCTGGCTAACACGGTGAAACCCCGTCTCTACTAAAAAATACAAAAAACTAGCCGGGCGAGGTGGCAGGCGCCTGTAGTCCCAGCTACTCGGGAGGCTGAGGCAGGAGAATGGCATAAACTCGGGCGGCGGAGCTTGCAGTGAGCTGAGATCCGGCCACTGCACTCCAGCTTGGGTGACAGAGCGAGACTCCGTCTCAAAAAAAAAAAAAAAAAAAATTTGAAATTTAGAGAGACATTTGTTTCAGTCCAAATCTGATGATGTGCAATACCACAATATATGATGTTCCTTACCTAACACTTGGTACGGTTAGGATTAGGTACGTCAGTGATGGCCTAGGGGAATGACTGTTGCAGTAATTCTCAAAGCGTGGTTTTCAGATGGCTACGGATAACCAAGACCTTTTCAGTGGACATCATCGTGGGTAATATCCATGATGGAAATTCCCATCAGGTATTACCATTATTCACCTGTAATACCCATAATGAGTGAGGACAACACGATCAATCTGAAGGGCAAGATTCTAGTCAAGACTGGAGGCCTACGTTATGCTCTTGTCATTGCAGTTTTTTTTTTTCCATTGTTTCATTTCTCTCCTGTAGGCTTTGATGCAGGAAGAATTGTCTCTGATGAGTATTTTCCATGCTGTTACCATCACACTTGTCAACAGGATGGGATGGCAACAGAGCATAGCCTTTGTATACATTCGTAAAGACAGTAAAGTGCTAACTGGACACAATAAGAAAATGAAAATGATAAAAATTTCTACATGCCAATTTCTTCCACTGGGTCTCATTTAAAGTCCCATAAAACCTTTATTTATTTATTTATTTATTTATTTATTTTTATTATTTTTTGAGGTGGAGTCTCTCTCTGTCACCCAGGCTGGAGTGCAGTGGCGCTATCTCAGTTCACTGCAAGCACTGCAAGCTCCGCAAGCTCCGCCTCCCAGGTTCACGCCATTCTCCTGCCTCAGCCTCCCGAGTAGTTGGGACTACAGGCGCCCGCCACCACGCTCAGCTAATTTTTTGTATTTTAGTAGAGACGGGGTTTCACCTTGTTAGCCAGGATGGTCTCGATCTCCTGACCTTGTGATCCACCCGCCCCGGCCTCCCAAAGTGCTGGCATTACAGGCGTGAGACATCATGCCCAGCCAAAACCCTTCTTTTTCTTAATGAGTATTTTGCCCGCCTTGGATGTAAAAAGGTGATTGGAAAGAGTTCAGCTTGCAACTCAAACATTTGATACAAATGCATTTCCTCAAGGTAATCATCATGATTTGGTACGCAAGAAAAATGTGTTAAATGTATTTCCAATTCGATCATGTAGAATACTTAAAAGATACTGTATATAAGGCTTGAGATTTAATACGTTAATACTTTTTACTGAATCATCAAAGACATTCTTAGGCAATGTGTGTGTGAGTGTGTGAAGAATACAATGACTATTGGTGCAGCTTGGTGCCTTTTATAGGTTGAATTATATATCCGAAAATTTATATGTTGAAGTCCTTCCCCTCAGAGATGTGCCCTTATTTGAAAATAAAATCGTTACAAATATAACTAGCTAAGATAAAGTCATACTGGAGTGGCGTGAGCTCCTAATGCAATACAATTGGTGTTCTCATAAAAAGAGCAAATTGGACACAGATATGGATACAGGGAAAGCATCATGTAAAAACTGGAGGTATGCTGCACAAGCCAGGAAATACCAGAAGCTAGGAAAAGGGCTTGAAACAGATTTTTTTGTAGTGCCTTCAGAGGGAGAATTGCCCTGCCAACACCTTGATCTTGGAGTTTTAGTTTCTAGTACTGTAACACGATATGTTTCCGTTACCTCTCACTTTATGGTTCTTTGTTACAACAGCCCTAGCAAACTAATACAGTACTCTGCACTTTATTCATGCTAAGCCACCAGTAATTTTAAACAACAGTTCAATTGCACTTTCAGTGAAAATATCAGTAGAAAGGCAAATAACATCACTGTATTATCATTATTATTATTGTTGTAACTCATTTTTACCTAGGGGACCCCCTGAAAGGGTCTTGATTATCTCCAGCCATCTGAAAATCACACTTTGAGAACTGTTGCAATAGTTATTCCCCTAGTCCTTCACCAAAGAACCTGTGACCATGTGTTTAGGTAACCATAACTGGGGAAAAAGGAATACAAATATCTTTTGAGGGTTATCTGAATACTTATCTGAACTGATCCTGATACCCAAGAACACAAAGAACATTAAGGGCCTCCTGTTAGAGTAGAAACATATCGGAGTCAGGGGATAAAAGAAATCCTGGGCCTGGTTTATATCACAGCGGAATAAGTCCACCAACTTATCCAGTGGAGGTTTTTCAGTTGCTGAATATTTAATTAGAATGAACATGCTTAGCAGCTTGCAGACCATCTTGTTGATTCCTTGATCTGTAAAGTAAGAGCTATTATAATAGGAAAGACCAAGAGAAATCCCCCAAACCACTCACCTTGGCGAAGATAGTAAATAAATATTAATATTGAAGATGTAAGTATGAGTCTCCTTTCAGAGACTTAAAGTGTACTAAAATAGTGGTTCCCATTATGTCTCCTACTTAATTTACCAGTTCAATTCCTGCAAAACACTGGATGGTGAATTATAGCAGACCAATGCAAAATTACCAAAGTATCAGCCCCAACTGCAGCTACTCTGCCAGATAAGCTATCTTTACTAGAGATACTGCAGTTGCAATATGTGGTTATTGATCTGGTAAATGCATTATTTTCAATATTCACCAGGAAGGAACATCAAAAGTAAGTTTGTATTCCACAGGACAGTACACAGTATATAAATATGGTCTTGTCTTAATTTCTACTTTCAGGTACAGTGTAATCTATAAAGATCTAGGCTATCTGGGCATTCTGCAGGGACCATCATATTGGTCTACTATATTGATGACATCATATCAATTAGATCTTCGGAGCAAAAAGTGAGAGTTATTATGAATACCTTAGTTAATCACATGCATTCCAGAGGTGAGAAGTCAATTCTACAAAGATTCAGGGCCTGACACATTAGTGAAGTTTCTAGTAGCCCAGTGGTCTGGACCCTACCATATATCTCCTCCCGAAAAAAGGACAAATTATTTAACCTTACTTCCTACCACTGAGTAGCACAATACTTGGTTTTGGAGGCAGCCTGCTATATATTTGCGATTACTGCTCTGACCCTCTAATAGGATGCTAGTCCAATGTGCTCCAGGCCAAGAAAGGAATCTGTGACAGGTCCATGCTACAGTATATCAGCCCTGAAAAAAAGTTCATCAAATCAGGCAGATCTGTGATACAAGAAGATTCTGTGATAAAGATGCATTGCGGAGCCTCAGACAAGTCCAGTAGGACAGTCAGTGCAGGCCTAGGGTTCTGGGGTAAATCTGTGTCATCTGAAGCAGATAACTAGTTGCCTTTTTAAAAATAGCTCATGGCATTCTATAGGACCCTGGTGAAGACTGAGCATCTAATCATGGGATACGAAACGATCAGGCTCCCAAAACAGCCCATTGTAAGCTGCATACTATTAGACCCACAAAATCATAAAGTAAAGTGGGTCCAGCAACATTCCATTATAAAACAGAGAGAGAGAACACCAGTCATTTAAGTGAACAAATGGTCCAGGCCCCCACTTCATACACCACTGTTACACTGTCATCTCTCCCTCAGCTCACATGTAAGCCCTCCCTGTAAGTTCCCTAGGACCAAAACCCAAAGCTTAGCTTGTGGATGGGTTGCCTCAGTCTGTGACATAAGCCAAAAGTAGACTGTTGCAGCACTGTAGCCCCACTGTGTTCTGGCCCTGAAAGACAGCGATGATGAAAAATACTCAAGTAAAAAATGATTCAGTAATAAAAGAGATAAACTCATGAGCAGTGGCAAATGGTTTGGCTTGTTTGGTCAGAGACCTGGAAGAGTCAAAATTGGAAGGGAGAGGACAAGAAGGTGTGGGTTAGAGGCATGCGGATGCATTCAGAAATTGCCAGCTTGATGGAGCACTGGCGTAGCCTCTTGAAGGCACAACTGAGGTTTGGAAATTATATCTTATGAGGATGGGACACCACCCTTTAGGAGGGTGCTGTGTCCCCAGTTCCCCAGTTCATAGAATAAACTGGATCTGAGAGACAAGGAGTAGAACTGGGGTAGTCTCACTCACCATCATTCTTTTTTTTTTTTTTTTGAGACAGAGTCTCGCTTTGTTGTCCAGGCTGTAGTGTAGTGGCATGATCTCGGCTCGCTGCCACCTCCGCTTCCCTTCACCATCATTCTTACTGACTCATTTACAGAATTTGTGCTACCAAATCCCAGTAATTTTAGATTTGTGAGTCTAGGATCTTGAGTTTCAGAGGGGAGATACTTCTACCAAGAGACGCGCTAAGAGTTCCTCTAAGTTATAGCTTTCCCCTAGTATACCAGTAGGCACAACATGGAGTTGCCTTTTGGCAGGGGTAATTTAAGCCTGATCATCATGAGACAATAGTGTTACGGGATCTTTGGGATATCACTTTGCCAGTTGGAAACCTTTGTGGCCAATGGCACCTTTGCCCAAATTTTGCTGTGGCCCACTGGGCTCATTCTGCCCATTTGGCCTGGCAGGCTGCACTTGGCTGGCACTATTGGCCTGGATCCCAATCTGCCAAGGACGAGCCAGGCACAGACCAATAAAGGAATGTATGAGTGAGCATGGGATCTGGCTACTGCACACAGCCAGACACACTACCTGCAGAGGAGTGGGCAGCTCCAGGTGCTGGCATGGGTGCCAGCTCCCTGCAAGGCTGCAGCTTGACAGGCATACCATAAACAGCTTCGGGGGAATGTGGTGGTGCCCAGAAGCTTGGAGACACCAGGAACTGCAGAGCCGTAAAAAGGGTGTCACAGCCCTGGCTCAGGGATCTCCCAGGTCTGGGCTCCCCAAAGTGCCACAGCTCTTCTCTCCTTCTCTCTTCTCTCCTTGTCACCCACAATGTGGCAAGCAAGGGGCGTGTTTCAGCCCTGTTTTTGTTACAGCTCTTTTAACCCTATCATTTGGCAGGTAGTGAGTTCTTGTCCTGTGACTAGGAAGAATGAGGTATGCAGAGAAGTGGAGGGCGAGCAAGGTTAAGAGGAGCTTTACTGAGCAATAGAACAGCTCTGAGGAGACCCAAATGGGTAGCTCCTTTCTGCAGCCAGCGTGTCCTGGTGAGTGTTTGGTTCCTAGCAGAGAAGAAACCCTAGAGTGGGTAGCTCCTCTCTACAGGCAGGTCATCCCATTGAGTGTTCAGCTCCTAGCCGAGAGGAAACCCTATAATGGGTAGGTCCTCTCTACAGGCAGGTTGTCCCATTATCTATTCAGCTCTCAGCAGAGAAGGTAGCTCCTCTCTGCAACTGGTTGTCCCATCTTCTCTTCAAGTCTTTCTAAATCCAGGGCTTTTATCGCCCCAGAGGGGAGAAAGTGCATGCCAGTTGTTCCATGGGTGCCCATAGATGGGCTCAGAAAAAGCACCACAAGTTCTAATTTCAGTCTGCGGGACCAGCAGCCCAGCCCCAAGGCTTCAGGCCTTCCTGGCTTGAAGGCGGGGTTTTGCCAGGGACCTGCATCTTTCCGCCCTGGAGCCTCTCCACCTCCTGAGGTTCTTCATGGCACCCACGCTGTTCATGTCGAGGGGCACCTGCAGGCCAGCAGTAAGCTGCCCTCAGCAACCCCCTTTGGCCTTCCTCCCATGCTTATTGGTGCCCAAAGTCTGGAGGGGGCCAAGGTGGCGGGGCTTCTGCCTATTCCCAGCTCCCAAGAGCACAGGGGTGCCCAGGTTGCAGCCACAGCTTGGGCAGCTACAGTTGTACCTGGGGAACTCCTGCTCTGCCAACTTGGAAGGGGCAAGGCTCCCACTTGTTCCCAGTTCCTGTTGGCTTCATGGAATGCACAGCCCTGGCTGCACCTCCTCTCTGTGTTTTCCCCACAGCAGCAGTGGGCAAAGAGCAGGTGGCATGGTGACCCCAGCCAACCCTGCACAAAGGAACCCAATGCGACCAGGGCCAGCAGTGTGAGTCCTGACTGTGCCTTCAGCCAGGTGCTTGCGGGCTCCCAGGATGAAGCAGGGGGTGAGGCTGAGGCCATAGTAAAGGCTCAGTGCCTGGGAGTGGGTCCTGCCTGGCTATGCGAGGGTGGGGGTAGTGCGGTCAGCTGCCTCAGAGACACGGAGCACAGAGGTCCCACCACCACCACTGCGGCTCTCACAGCCAGTCCTGCTGCCACCGCCCGCACCCCCCTTCTGCAGCTGGCATGATGGCCATGGCCACTCCAGACAGCCCGCCACTGCATCAGTAGGACTGTTTTTATATAATGGGAGTAGGGAGAAATATGCTTTTTGTACTCTCATAACCAGCTTTAATTGTAAATCATTAAGTATGTGTAAATCAAGAAGGTCTTATAAGGGCCTGGCAATCAGGCCTCAGACCACTCAGGGGTCTATGCTTAAGACTCAGTCTCAGTCATGCCGTGGATGTATCTTTGATCCTAATTTCACTAGGATGTTTTATAAGTCATCCGGGACAAATTTATCAAACAACTTTTTGACATATACTGAACAGTTTGTGAGATTCTTTTTCTCTTTAATCTAAAATTAGGTAAAGTATATTAGTAGATTATTTAATATCAACTATTTTACATTCCTAAAAATATTACCTTGTTGTTGGTTTAATTCTTTTAGTGCACTATCGATTTTATATGCTGATATGTGGAATCTTTGCCTCTGCATTTACAAGTGAAATTAGCTTAGAAATTTTTTTGTATACTAACTTTGTCAGGATTTAATATCTGAGTTATACTTGTAAAATTTAGAAAACACTTCTCCTTTCCCTAGTCTATGGAAAAACTAAATGACATAAAAATTATCTGTTCCTTAAAGGCTTAAAGTGATATAAACTATTTCTCTTACATAGCAATCTAAGGCCACACATTTTTTGGCAGTAATTCTCAATTTCTTCTATGGTTCTCTATCTGCTCACATTTTCCATCTCATCTTGAGCCAGTTGTTAATTTAGTTTTCCACTAAAAAATGTATTTCATGGAAGTTTTCTAATTTAATAGGAGAAATTGTACAAAATATTCTCTTACATTTCTTTGGTTTCTTGCTATTTGTTGTTAATTGTTGATTTTCTCCCCATATTTTGTGTATTTTTTTCTTTACTTCCCATTTAGAATAGTCTTTATCCCATTAAAAAAAATCAATTCTTGGAATTATTTATAAATGCTAGCTTTCCACTTCTTAATTCATGCAGTTCTTCTTTTGACTTTATTACTACCTTTCCTACTTCCTTCCGCCATTTGAGTACAACTTGACTTTTCCGGCTCTGCTCTCACTGCAAACCAGCATGCACACTAAACTCCTCCCACCCCAGACTGCTTCTATTGGCTGAACATTTTATGTGCCTTTCTACCCTGTACTTTAGTCCACAATGATCACCTAGCCTCTTTTTTCCAATAAGTTATGCCTTCTGAAATACTTCTGTAGCCTGTGCAAAAGCTACTATCTGTAATACACTGATTTTGTATTGATTTTGTATTACATTGCTCATCTCATTTTACCTTGTAATATAATTCTGTGTCCTTGTCTAATTCCAAGACCAGAATATGTAGACTACTTGAAGGTGCTGTAAGTTTTCTTCTTTTTAGCTTCTATTTTACCAAGCACATTTTTGTGTGCTACTAAGAAATCTACTTGTTTGTTTTTTGTTGTTGTTGAATTAAATTGAAGAAGTAGGTCCTTGCTTGGTCTTCAAGCAATAGTGTGCAGAGAGGTATCTGTTACAATTGCACACAAGACAAATGACCATATAAATGTTTCTGCTGATGATCCAACCCTCCCATCAAACTGGTTATTAAGTAAGTGAGCATTTTACTTTCGTTAAGAAGTATTCTCTGGCTCTGCATTTCCAGTTGTGTCATCAGATAGGAATTATTATCTGAAGCTAGAAAATATCTAGAGAAGAAATATGGAGAAAATTAATAAACTTTATTTACTGAAATGGACTAGAATCCCCTGATTTCATATATTATGATCACAGAAAACAACATTTCAATTCCTTAAATGAATTAATAATCACACCAAAAATCACAAACACCTCTACATAAAAGAAATCACAGTGAGACCATAACTAAATAAATGCAGGTATGTCAGGATTTTGACATTTCTTTTGCACTTATGAATAAATGATTCATCCAATATTATTATAACAGATCAGTCTCTACCAGTCTTTTGCCAGCCACACCCACTTCTAATCAGTGGAAGAGTTCAATGCAGGGCCCAGGAGTAAAGTTCCATTTCCAGAACTATTATAGAAATGATAGACAACCTCCCCTACTTCCAAAAAAGCTTTAGAAGTATAGGATGAATACAATTCCTGTTCCAAATGCATGGCTGAATTTGCAAAAAAGGTAAGGGAAATCTCTCAAGGTAAAAAATGACAAGGAGACAGGAAACCACGAGATCATTTGCTGGTCTCAATAACAGAAAGCCTTTTTAAAATAATTACTTAGATAAATTTAAATTTATTGTGATTTGTTTTACGGCTCATTTAATGGTCTGCCTTGGTAAATATTCTGTGTTCCCCTGAAAAAAATGTGTATCCTCCTGTGATAGCTAGTTTTATGTGTCAAGTTGGCTAGAGTATAGTAGTCAATCATTCAATCAAACACTAATTTAAGCATTGTTGTGAAGGTATTTTGTATGTGATTAATAACTACAATCAGTTGATTTTAAGTAAAGGAGATTATTCTCAATAAAGAAGATGGGCCTCACTCAATCGGCTGAAAGTCCTTAAGAGAAAAAGTGATGTTTTCCAGAGTAAGAAAAAAAAGTCTTCCTTAAGACGGCAGCATTAGTTGCATTAGTTTCTGCTCAAAAGTTTCCAGACTACCAGTCCACCCTATAAATTTCAAACTTACAAGCTTCCACAATTTCAATAATTAATTCCTTGAAATAACACCCACACACATACACACATACACGTACATATACATACTTTCTACTTATTACGTTTCTCTGGTGGAACCCTGACTGATACAGATTTGGTACCATAAGTGGTCTTCAAAAAACAGAATATTAAGGATGAATTTTCAGAATTGGTTCGGGGTTTTCTGGAATTGGTCATCTAATCTAATTAGATTTAAAAGCACTAATGACTGCATTTCTAGTGCTAGAGGGCACACTGATAGTCCATGGCATGAAGTAACAGTAGAGATATGCAAAAATGTCACCACTGGATAATCCTAGTCAAATACTTATAAAAGGCAAGGTCTGAGTGATCATGTGTTTGGTACTTTAGGACATTTATATATAATGAGATTGACTGGTTTCTCCTAATTTGCTGGGCAAACGGATAAAGAAAAAGATGAGTTCAGGGCTTCAAATTCTCAAACTATATGAATGAACTGGAAGTTTCTATGTCTGCCATGAAAGAACCCTCTATCTTCTCAGCAAGGCTGAAGTTTCTAGATACCAAAACTTATCCCGTAAGTGGTTAAATGACAACACAAATTGAATTCCTAACTTGTCAGGGTATCCTTGGCTAGAGTGAGGTTATTGATTGGAAAGGAATGGGATCCTGAAAATTGGAATGTGAACATATAGGCAAAAGCTGAGGAAACTGAACACGTAAAATCTCTAAAATCTCCTAAGTCTTTGCCCATAGAAGCAGTCCTCCTACCCCTGTTTGAAGTGGTTAACCCCCTGCTTTGCCTGAAGAAACTATAATGATTTTTCTTCAACTAGTTGCCTTAAAAGACACTTTCTATTCTCCTCAGGATCTTCCCCCTCACTCCTCTTTGCTTCCAGACTTATAACCAGACTTGAGTCCCCGCAGGGCGCAAAAAGTGAGGTACAGTGTGATCCACAAGGAGTTACACCACGCACCAAAAGAGCTATATGACTTTTCCAATGGATACAGTTATAAATCTAGACAATATGTATAGGAATGAATATTAAGGATGCGGAATAATGAAAAAGACAAAGCTGAATGAGGCCAAATTATTGATATGAATCCAGTTAGGCAGAGATTCTAGATTCAATGCTGTAGCTCCAGGCATTAGAAAAGGCTCTGTGTGTGTTGGTCAGTTCTTGCACTGCTATCAAGAAATACCTGAGACTGGGTAATTTATAAAGAAAAGAGGTTTAGTCGGCTCATGGTTCTACAGGCTGTACAGGATGCATGGTGGCATCTGCTTCTGGGAAGGCCTCAGGGAGCTTTTACTCATGGCAGAAGGCAAAGCCAGAACAGGCATGTTCACACGCCCAGAGCAGGAGGAAGGAGGTGTGGGTGGGAGATGCTACACACTTTTAAACAACCAGATCTCATAACTCACTCACTATCATGCAAACAGAACTGAGGCAATAGGGCTAACACGTTCCTAAGAATGTCACCTCCATGATCCAATGACCTCCCACCAGACCCCACCTCCCACACTGGGAATTACAATTAGACATGAGATTTAGTGAGGACACAGACCCAAACCATATCACTATTAATTTGTTTAGTGAGCTGAAACATTGACCAAATTGTTGTCTACACTAAATACAAATAAAAATAAAATATCAGAACTACTTCAGTATATGGAAAAATGAGAGTGCCAGAGGAAAAAAGTTCCAAAATCTGCACATAAACTCTCCCCACTTCTTGCTAGAATTCTAACTGGAAAAACTTTGAAATTGTTTGCTGAGTGTTAATACATGAACAATGTCATTTCTTCCTGGAAAAAAAATATGCTGATTGTGACTGTGATTATCATATAAATTATATACATATTTTATATTAATTATTATTATCATTATTATTATTTAAAAGTAATGGTTGTTGTTTTGATTTTTAGGAGCTATTAGCATCACACAGTCCAAAGTTATTTCATAACCACAGATCTGCCCCTTAATCCCAGTCAGGGATACGGAATGTATATTAGTGATAGCAAGAGAAAAGAGGAAAAATATATTGATAGTTTGATATAGTTTGGTTTCCCACCCAAATCTCATTGTAAATTGTGATCCTGATGGGGGCCTGATCGGGGGTGACTGGATCATGGGGTGGTTTCTAATGGTTTAGCACCCTCCACCTGGTGCTGTCTCATGATAGAATTCTCACAAGATCTGCTTGTTTAAGAGTGTGGAGCACCTCCTCACCTTCTGCTGGCCATTTGAAGACATGCTTGCTTTCCCTTCACCTTTCTGCCATGATTGTAAGTTTTTTGAGGCCTCCCCAGTCATGCTGCCTGTGGAACAGTGAGTCAATTAAACCTCTTTTCTTTATAAATTACCCATTCTTGAGTAGTTCTTTATAGCTACGTGAGAATGAACTAATACATGGTTACTTAATGCCCAAAGAATAGGCAGAGGCACAGCTCAAACCTGTGTGGCACCTAGAAGATTTCTCATGTGGGGCAGGTGCAGCAAAACACAACCATATACGGCCATCGCCAAGGTTTGCCATCTTTTTATGAGTGATTCTAGTCCTTGCTGACTGCCAGGCTGGCAGAAGGAAGGGCTGCCTTTCCCACAGGACTAGGGTGTATCTAATCTACCCTTGTCCACCAACCCCACCCAAGGCCCATGCCTGGCCACTCCTGAAATAGGGTGCACACAGCACAGCCTCCATTTCCCCACCTGAGTGTTTTGCAGTGGCCTGGGAGCAGTTTGGCCTCCCCAGCACACCTGGTGCTCAATATTGAGGTGTCAGAGGATAAAACCATGCACTCGATCCCAAAGTCCAGGGTTCAAGCACACCACCCAGAGGTATCAAGATGAGATCTGTGGCCTAAGTTCAAGCTAGGGAGGAGCCCCCACTCACAGAACACTGAGAAGAGTGAGAAGTAGGTTTGTGTTTTGGCATGGTAGTTGGGCGTCCCTTTATCTGTGAGACTGATCGAATAAGGGTTTAGCCTATTGGCCATCTGCAGCTTCTGCCCAAGGGATCTCCACAGCCCACAACATCTGGAACACCTCAGTGATCTGTACACAAAAGGCTTGGGACAAAACTAGCTGGTTGGGCCTGCTCCTGGGACTGACACCACAGGGAAAACTGGTCAGGAGAGCACAAGCTGGGTGGTCTTCACAACCATGTTCTGGGCAAAGAATCCAGGCTACAGGCACCACACCAGTGTTGCAGGAAGTCAGGGACCCCAAATGGAGGGACTGGCTGGAGCCGTGGAAGAGGAACGTAAATTGTGAAGATTTCATGGACATTTATCAGTTCCCAAATAATACTTTTATAATTTCTTATGCCTGTCTTTACGTTAATCTCTTAATCCTGTTATCTTCATAAACTGAGGATGTGGCTGGGCGCGGTGGCTCAAGCCTGTAATCCCAGCACTTTGGGAGGCCGAGACGGGCGGATCACGAGGTCAGGAAATCGAGACCATCCTGGCTAACACAGTGAAACCCTGTCTCTACTAAAAAATACAAAAAACTAGCCGGGCGAGGTGGCGGCGCCTGTAGTCCCAGCTACTCGGAGGCTGAGGCAGGAGAATGGCCTAAACCCGGGAGGCGGAGCTTGCAGTGAGCTGAGATCCGGCCACTGCACTCCAGCCTGGGCGACAGAGCGAGACTCCGTCTCAAAAAAAAAAAAAAAAAAAAAAGCTGAGGATGTACATCACCTCAGGACCACTGTGATAATTGTGTTAACTGTACAAATTGATTGTAAAACATGTGTATTTGAACAATATGAAATCGGTGCACCTTGAAAAGCAACAGAATCACAGTGATTTTTAGGGAACAAAGGAAGACAACCACAAGGTCTGACTACCTGCAGGGTCGGGCAAAAAGAGCCATATTTTCCTTCCTGCAGAGAGCCTATAAATGGATGTGCAACTAGGAGAGATATCACTAAATTCTTTTCCTAGCAAGGAATATTAATATTAATACCCTGGAAAAGGAATGCATTCCTGAAGGGAGGTCTATAAATGGCCGCTCTGGGAATGTCTGTCTTATGTGGTTGAGATAAGGACTGAGATATGCCCTGGTCTCCTGCAGTACCCTCAGTCTTACTAGGGTGGGGAAAAACTCTGCCCTGCTAAATTTGTGGTCAGACTGGTTCTCTGCTCTCAGACCCTGTTTTCTGTTGTTTAAGATGTTTATCAAGACAATACATGCACTGCAGAACATAGACCCTTATCAGTAGTTCTGCTTTTGCCTTTTGTCCTGTTTCCTCAGAAGCATGAGATCTTTGTTAGACCCTTATTAGTAGTTCTGCTTTTTGCCCTTTGAAGCATGTGATCTTTGTACTTACTCCCTGTTTTTACACCCCCTCCCCTTTTGAAACCCTTAATAAAAACTTGCTGGTTTTGAGGCCCAGGTGGGCATCACAGTCCTACCAACATGTGATGTCACCCCTGGTGGCCCAGCTGTAAAATTCCTCTCTTTGTACTGTCTCTCTTTATTTCTCAGCTGGCCGACACTTATGGAAAATAGAAATAACCTACGTTGAAATACTGGGGGTGGGTTCCCCCAATACACCAGTGCACACTTGCAGCAAGAGTCTTACCCAGGGATACTCATCTCTTTACCCACTGCATTGCCAGAACACCCACAGACATACCCCACAACCTGCTGTGACTCTCCCAAGCTTAGAGGACCAGCAGGTCCCCAAGGAGTTGTGGGCCTCCTGGTAACCTAAACTTTGCCCTAGACAGGAAGAGAGAGTAAGCAACTTAGAAAACGTATTTGAGGATATAGTCAACAAAAATTTACTCAATCTCACTAAAGAGGCCAACATGCAAATTTCAGAAATTCAGACAACTGCAAGATGCTACGCAAGATGACCATCCCCAAGACACATAGCCATTAGACTTTCCAAGGTCGATGTGAAATAAAAAAATCTTAAAAGCAGCTGGAGAAAAGGGCCAGCTCACTTACAAAGGAACCCCATCAGATTAAAAGCAGACATCTCAGCAGAAAGTTTATAAGCCAGAAGAGATTGGGGTCTATTTTCAGTATCCTTAGAGAAAAGAAATTCCAACTAAGAATTTCATACTCTCCAATTAAGCTTCATAAGCAAAGAGAAATACAATCTTTCCTAAGCAAGCGAACACTAAGAGAATTCACTGCCACAAGGCCAACCTTACCAGAGATCCCTAAGGGAGTTCTAAACATGGAAATTTAAGAACAATACCTGTTACTACAAAGACACACTTAAGTGTATAGCCCTATAAAGAAACTACACAATCAAGACTACAAAGCAACTAGCTAACAGCATCACAACAGGGTCAAAACTTCATATATCAATATTAATCTGGAATTAAATAACCTAAACGTGCCCCTTGAAAGGCACAGAGTGGCAAGTTGGATAAAAGAACGAGACATAACCATCTGCTGGCTTCCAGAGAACCATCTCACATGTAACAAAACACACAGGCTAAAAGTAAAGGGTTGGAAAAAGATCTATCACACAAATGGAAAACAAAAAAGAGCAGGGGTCACTATTCTTATATCAGACAAAATAGAATTTAAACCAACAACAGCAAAAAAAAAAAAAAAGGACAAAGAGGAGCATTACACAATGATAAAGGTTTCAAATCAAAAAAAGAGTTAACTATCCTAAATATATACATGCCCGACATTGGACACTCAGAATAAAAAAAAAAAAAGTACTTCTAATCCTATGGAAAGACTTAGCCATTTAATAATGGTTGGAGACTTCAATATCCCACCAACAGCGTTAGATCATCAAGGCAGAAAACTAAGAAAAGAATTCTGGTCTCAAATGTAATATTTGATCAATTGGGACTAACAGACATCTACAGACTACTCCACCCAAAGACCACAGAATATCCATTTTTCTCATCTACATATGGAACATACTCTGAGGTCAGACACATGCTCAACCATAAAACAAGTGTCAATAAATTAGAAAATGTCAAAATCATGCCAACCATACTCTCAGACCACAGTGGAATAAAAATAGAAATCAATATCAAGCATGTCTCTGAAAACTCTACAAATACATGCAAATTAAACAACTTGATCCTCAATAAGTTTTGGGTAGACAATAAAATTAAGGAAGAAATAAAAAAATGTTTAAAATTAATTAAAACAGAGACATGACATTTAAAAAACCCTAAGATGCAGCACAAACAGTGTTAAAAGTTTATAGTGCTAAACACCTACATCAAGAAGTTAGAAAGATCTCATATTAACAATCTAACATCACACTTAGAAGAACTAGAAAAGGCCAGGTACCATGGCTCACGCCTGTAATCCCAGCACTTTGGGAGGCTTAGGCAGGTGGATCACAAGGTCAGGAGTTCGAGACCAGCCTGGCCAGCATGGTAAAACCCTGACTCTACTATAATACAAAAATTAGCCAGACGTGGTGGTGGGTACCTGTAGTCCCAGCTACTCAGGAGGCTGAGGCAGGAGAATCTCTTGAACCCAGGAGGCAGAGGTTGCAGTGAGCCAAGAAGGCACCACTGCACTCCAGCCTGAGCAATAAGAGCTAAACTCCATCACAAAAAAAAAAGAAAAAGCAGAAGAAGAAGATGGAAAAGAATTAGAAAAACAAGAATAAACTAACCCCAAAGCCAGCAGAAGAAAATACATGACTAAAATCAGAGCAGAACTGAATGAAATTGAGATCCAAAAATCTATACAAAGGATCAACAAAACCAAAAGGTGACTCCTTGAAAAGACAAACAAGATCAATAGAGTACTAGCTGGATTAATAAAGAAAAAAAAAGAGAGGAGGTCCAAATAAGTACAATCAGATATTACACAGGTGACATTACAATTGATCTCATAGAAATACAAAAGATCCTCGGAGACTATTATAAACACCTCTATAAACACAAACTAGAAAAATCTAGAAGAGATTGATGAATTCCTGAAAATATGCAACCTCCCAAGATTGAATCAGGAGAAATTGAAATCCTAAGCAAACTAATAAGTTATCAAATTGAATCAGTAATTTTAAAAATCTACCAACAAAAGAAGCCCAGGACCACTTTTAGGTCACAAAATTTTAGTTTCACTTCAATCCCAGCCCTCAATTACTCTGAATTCAGCTAGTCACCTAGTCAGTACACCATTGAGATAAGGTAACTCAGAAGGAGTTTTGCTGGATAATGTACACATTTATCACCGCTGCTAGGACAAGTCAAGAAACACCTTATAAGTAAGCAGATCAAGATTATCCTCATAATCATTGAAAGAAAGCTTTATTTTCACCTGAAAATGTCACAGTATCAGACTTACCAGACACCATGATAATGATGGAGATCAGTAATCTTGAAGCTGACATCTTTCCTAAAGTATGCATTTGGAGTGGTTTTGTACTTAAACATAAATCCACTTTAAATCAATCAACAGACTCAGTGAATCTGTTTCTCTTGGTCACTTTTGCTTATTCTCTCTTCAACAGGATTGCAAAATGTATTTCTTCATTATCTTGCTTATCTTTAACTTTTGCTTTCATTTTATACGTTTTTGACTGATAAGCCACTGATGGGAAATGTCAGCGAGTTTTGCTGAGTAATAAAGCAAAAAAGCCAATGCTTACAACTCATTGCTTCTCCCACAGCATTGAAGTAGGAAGATAAATCATATAACAATTCATTTAAAAAGTAGTATTTTGAGAGTATAAATTAAATATGGTAAAATGAACAAACCTTGAGTGTACAGCTTGATGAATTTCTACATATATATGCACTTATCTAATTACTTCAAAACCAAGGTGTTGATAATTTTTATTATTCAAAGTGTCCTTTGTTCCTTCTCTGCCAATACCCTCTCCTCCAAAGATAAACACAACTCAGACTTCTAATAGCACTAATTCATTCTGACAGTTTTTGAACTTCACATACATGAAATTCTTTGCATAGTTCAATTTTTAATGCTGTATAGTAAATTTTTAATAACTATGTCACAATTTATTCATCCATTTCTCTATAGATTTAGATTGTCCCAGTTTGGGGCTAATATAAAGCTTCTAAGAACATTCTTGTTTGGTACATAATTTTTGGTCTATGTGTACATTCATTTTCTTGGATATACACCTAGGAATTAAATTGTTGGGTTATAAGATAGTCACATGTGTGTCTTTAATAAGTACTTTCAGTCATGGGTTGACTAGTGCAACCCCCGCCCAACATTTATTTGTTGAAATTCTAATCCCCAGTACCTCAGAAGATGATCTTATTTGGAAATAGGGTCTTTGGAGATATAATTAGTTAAGATGTGGCCTTGCTGAAATAGATTGGTCCCTAATCCAATATGACTGGTGTCTTTGGATTTTTCTTTTTTTCTTCCTTTGTACTTCTTAGCTTCTTATGGTGTCCTTATAAAACGAGGAAAACTGGGCGCATACACAGGAACACCACGTGAAGATAAAGGCAGAGATCTGAGTGATGTTTCTTCTACAAGCCAAGGAAAACCAAAGGTTGCCAGGAAACCATTGGAAACTAGGACAGAAGCAAAGATTCTACCCTTCTGTTTTATAAGATTAAAGATTCTTTTGATGACAGGACACAACACGAAAACTCTTGGATAGATGAAAGGCAAACCTCTTTGTTACTTATAGCTCCAAACAAGAGAAGAGTTCCATGTAGGGCCACAGAGCGGTTGCACACAGGGACAGGGTAACAACACACTGGAGCTGTAGAGAGCACGTTATATACGGCAACTGGAGCAGAATTAGTTTCCCTGAGAACCCTGTGCATTAGCTAATTTGAATAACTTCAGAAGCTCTGGGACATAGCTGTCCATGGGGCTGTTTGTAGTTATCTGGTACTTGGCCCTGGGCAAGTAGGGCAGGTATACAGTGACAAACAGTGTGAGATCCAGATAAGGGAAGTGGTTGAAGGGACCTAAATCAGATATTCAAGAAGGGGAGCTGACTGACTATTAGGGGCTCAAAACTGGGACTAGAAGGTATTTTTTTTGCATGAAAACTATATTAAAATTGACTTCTTGATCTCCACATTAGTGTCAAGCTTGATTACTTGAAGTATTTGAGTGGCCTAAATTGTAGAGAAGATTTTAGTAAGTAGTGCATACATTGCACTAAATTGCATGCAAAAAACAAAAACAAAAACAAAAAAAAACCATTTTATTATTTTCTCCTTAAAAAGGAGGAAAACAAGTAGGAGTATGAAGAGTCCTTGTAGGCTGGTTCATAATCAAGTTTCACATTGTATGGCCTTAGCCAAGAAAACAGATCCGGGATTTCCAGGATCTCTAACAATATACTGATTGAGTTAAAGTATGTTAAAACATGAGCTATATTTTTGTGTGTGCGATAGTAATCTCTTGGTACATTCCAGGGCTCAAGGTGGCAGGTCCAACAATTATATTTTTGGAGAGTATGAAGTTAGTTAAGTAAGGTATATGTAAAGATTAATGACGTTTGTAACCTGGGGGAAGAGGTAGCAGCTGTGGGTCATGGATGCAGGACAGGATGTTGTGGTGGCAAACTGGAGTGGAAAGTGTCAGAGGAGGTAATGGGCAATGGGAGGTCCTCTCTCCTGGGGGTTAAGGGGTGAACCCATATGAGGCAGTTGCTTCCTCGGGAAAGCAATAATCTCATTAATTATTAGAATGGCTCAAAGAGTAGTACACTGTACCAGATTTTCCTTTAGACATGGAAGTATAAAGAGGTACATTTTCGCAGAGAACAAGAGTATAAGCTAAGCAAATGGTGAACTCAGGAAATGAAACAGAATTTCCTTTATCAAAGGAAGTAAAATGATAAATGTCCTATGTCCAATTTTTTAGATTCGTAGGAAAGTCAGCCTATGGATGTTGCTGGGGTGGTGGTCTCAGTGTCCTGGGTGAAGTCATTTCTGGGGAAAAGGGCAAAGTCATCTTCAAGGTCAAAGTCTTGGGCCAAAGCAATATCATTTATAATGTGAGACTAAAACTGGAACTGTGATGTGGGACATCCTTTTCAAATGATCACAAACTTGAGTTGATATGGGTCTTATTTTTGTGGCTCTGTGGTACTATAACGAGGCTGAACCACATGTGGAATATGAAGGCAATGTTAAGTTTAGGGGCTTGATATGCAAATATCATTTAAGTCAAGGAGCTTTGAGGTGCACGGTTAGCAAAGGTGAGGTCAGTATCCATGATACTGCTGTAATGTATCAAAGCACCAGAACTGAATGGCATAATTAAAGCCTCAATTAAGCATGTCTGAATTTAAAATTCCCAACAGCCCAAGGTTTTGAGTTATTAAATAGGTTTTGCTGCAAACAAGTCTTCAATCAGGGGATTTCTCCTCCAAGATGGTCAACTAGAAACAGCCAGGAGGAATATCTTCCACTGAGAGACCTGGACATTGGAAAGGCTGGCACACTTCTAGCCTTTCTTCAGAGGCAAGGCATTGAAAGTAGGTGGAGAGAAGAAGCAGAAGCTGGGCTGAAGGGGTAGGAAGATGGGAACTCTGCATGGAGCTATGGAACACTAGAGCTGATTCCTGGCCTCCAGTGACTCCTACAAAGTGATGGGTTAAATAGGCAAGGAGCAGCCCAGTTTCACCATGGGCCTCTGGAATCTCAGCAGGATAAGACCCCTGGACCACCACGGGCACTTGAACTGATAGAAAGACCTGCTTAGAGAAGTGATAGAAGCAGAGCTCCTGCTGGTGTGAAGCCCAGAGAGTTTGGTTCTAGAACATCTGTAATGAAGCACAGCCAGGGTTACCCATGCCGCTAGGCTCAACTTGCTGCCACAGGAGACTTTAGCCCTAGGGGAACTGTTGGACCTTAACTCTGTAGGGTGGTTTTGCCCATGAGATGGGGCTGGTTTGACTTGAGCACCCCTTGGTCTACTGGCCTCTCCTAGGGCTCCAAGTATCAGGTACTTCTTGGGGGCTCAGATCATAGCTTCTGCAATGGTGGACCATGCCTGAGTGGCAGAGTCCTCCAGCAGAGCAGCCCCTGCAGAAACACACCAGCTCGCCTGCACCCTCCCCCATCAATAGGCTCACTTGTGTCACTTTGCTGCATGCACTCACCCACAGCCAGCCCTCCCCTGTTAATATTACTTTGCTGGTGCACGTGTGCACCAGGGGACCTTCCCTTCCCTTACACACCACCATGTGTGTGCACATGCACCCTTCCCTGTCACTGCTGCAAATGTGAGTGCACCACGCCCCCACCCCTTGCTGAGCAGCCATTGTCACTGGAGCATTGGCAGGCACAGAGCACACTAGCCCTGCCCCCACCTGCAACTACTCTGTTCTGACACTGCCACCAGAGAGAAACTATAGAGGCAGAAAAGCAGAACCACCCCTGTCCTAAGCAGCCAAGGCTACCAGTGTGAACTCTCGCAGAGGGCATACACAGTCCTGCATCTGCCAGTAACCTGCCCCCATGCTAACACCATGAATGGCACAAATGAGTGCACAGACACTGGCAGAGGCCCTGCACCCCTGAGCTATGATCTCACCATACTGCTGCAAACAACCACATGAAGGCTGGCAGCTTGGCACCAGCCAGGGTTAGTGAGCTCTGTACCTGCCAATGCTCCAGTGACAATGGCTGCTCAGCAAGGGGTAGGGGTGTGGTACACTCACATTTGCCGCAGTGACAGGGAAGGGTGCATGGGCACACACATGATAGTGTGTGTTAAGAAGACTTAACTAACCTAATTATATAGCACCCTGGTAAAGCCCATGAGTGTGCACCCTGACATGCTGCCACTGTCACTGTTGTTGGTACATGTGAACCAGGATGGATCCCGCTGCTACTGCCCTATGAAGTGCTTTGGCTGGCATCACCCATTAGAGTGTTGTGACCATTAGATTGTTGTGACCAGCTTGGAGCACCATGGCCCCTCCAGTGCAGCAGCTTCCTTCCTAACCTCAAGAAGCCAAAGGACAAAACCAGGGCCCAATACCAGAACCCTAGAGTTAGAGCATGAAGTTCAGGGGTCCTGAGCTGAGCCTTGGACCTCTAAAACATTCCAGAAATGAAGCCAGTTGATTGAACCCACCTTACACCACAAACAAACCCCTAACATCATCAAATAGGATAAAAGCAAAAGAAAGCCTATCCAAAGGACAGCAGCTTCAAAGACTGAAGGAACATTAGTGCACAAAGATGAGAAAAAAACAGCACAAGAACTCTGACAACTACAAAAGCCAGAGTGTCTTCTTTCCTCCATATGATCATACTAGTTCTTCAAGAAGAGTTCTTAACTCAGCTGAGATGGCTCAAATGACAGAAAGAGAATTCAGAATGTGGATAACAACAAAGATTGTTGAGATTAAGGAGAATCTTGAAACTCAAACTAAGGAAACTAAGAATCACAATAAAATGGTACAGGAGCTGACAGACAAAATAGCCAGCATAGAAAAGAATGTAACCAACCTAATAGATCTGAAACTACACTAAAATAATTTAATAATGCATTCATAAGTATGAAAAGCAGAATACAAAAAGCTGAGGAAAGAAACTCAGAGCTTGAAGACTGGCTTTTTAAAGTAAGACAGACAAGAATAAAAAGAGAGAGGGAATGAAAAGGAACAAACAAACCTC